AAGGTTTTTTCAGCCCCCCCCCCCCCCCCCCCCCCCCTCGCAGCCCCGAAGGATAGTTTTTCGGGCAAGGCATTAGAAAAAAAATTTGAACGGCCCGATTTTATTTTTTTTTTTTTAGGAATTTAAAAATAAAGTCATATCTTCGCCCGAATATCCTAAATTAAACTGAATACTTGTGGATCTCCCAAGGGGGGTAGTATCATGTGTTCTAGAAAGAGTGAAAATACTCTGCCAATAACAATAGTGTTTCTCTCGAAGTGTTTGCAAAACTCTCATAACTAAGTTAGAAAATCGGGCAACCTCAGATATCTCGCTCCCCCTGGGACGTAAACCTGGCTCCGCCACTGGTGATGAGAGTAAAAAACTGATTTTCTATTCTTGATCAATGACTGTCTCGTTGCTGTGCGTACAGATCATGATTTCTTCGTCCGCTTCAGAAATTTTAAAGTAGTACCCTTTACTCAATCCTCTGATTATACAGTGTGTCTGGTCTGGAAAACCAAAGTGAAGCGAATTATAACTTTATTTTAAGTAATTTAGTCCATGCTTACTGCTTACGCTACAAATTTATTATTTATAATCACTTCATAATGTGTAGCCTAAAATGATGGTTAATTCTATCGAGTACATATTATAGGCTTACCTTGAAATGTATTGATGAGATAAGCTCAAATAAATATCATTTACAAAGCTTTGTATTGATCCCCGAAATCTTTTAAACAATTACATAATCAATCGCCTGATATAATATAGCCACTGTACATTATTAAGAGGAAATGACCAAAGCTTATTCATATTACTTCATTTAATATACAATGAATGAAATCAATAGGTCACGTTCAATAAGCTCCATATAAGGAAAAACTACCTTGCGCGCGCAGATTTAAAGGTGACATCAGCAATGATAAAGGTAAGATATAAATAAAGACGCGTGCCAGGTGATCACCTAATTCAAAACATTACCACGTGCTGTTGTATTCTTAGAAACGATTAAAATTCATCGTGGAGTGATAAAAAAAAAAAAACCCGTCTGTGTATATATATATTTGAAGAACAGTGGGTTTGGATCAGTTATCGTTAGAAAGGATATCCTATACTACCGAACACTTATAACTGTCTAGAGGATCATAAACCGTGTTGTTATATATATATATATTAAGTAGTGTATAAAAGTCTAGCTTCTAAAGATTGTTTAGATATTGAAGTGAATAGTAATAATATATGTCATAAACGTTGATATAAGTTATTTATATTCTTAAAGCAAGTTTTTGTACACAGATTTCACCGTGGTAGTAACAGCCAGAGACAGAAAAGTGTTTGAAATGGCATCTGTAGTGATGCCGCAGAGTTTTTGTACCAAGCGAAGAAACAGTCAGACATTAGCCCCTCTGATAATGCCACCCAGAGACGTGCAGTTTCCATCAGATTACGACGATGTAGCTGAAGAAGGGAAAATGTTGTTCAATAGATTTGTTTTATTTCGTATGGAACAGGAGCAAGTTGAAGATAATAAACAACAGGCTGCAATATCGTAAGTAGTAATAACTGAGAAATGTTGAGTGTTTAAATACAATACTTGATAATACGTGAAGGTCAATTGTTATAGGGTTATGGTTGTACAGCATACTGTATTGTAGCAATATATTGTACTGTATATAAAGAATCGTATTACATAATATATTATAGTAAAAATGATACTACTAACAATATTGGGATTATGTACTTACTGAAAATACTATTTGTTATCTAGGATAAGGTACATTTTATGCTTGCAAACGATCACTGGACTTTGAATTTGTGACGATCATTGACATTTGATTCTTGTGACGATCATTGCTTGATCATTGACATTTGATTCTTGTGACGATCATTGATCGAACCTTTCTGACGATCATTGCCATTTGAATCTTGTGACGATCATTGATTGATCCTTTCTGACGATCATTGGCTTTGATCCTTGGCATTCATTGACATTTGATTCCCGTGACATTTGGTTCTTTGTATAACAATCACTGACACAGATGCTCATCTGATTCTTAATGAAGATCAGTGATTAGTCCTTTGTGACTACCATGGACTGTTGATTTCTGTGACGATGACATTTGGTTCCTTGTAAAACAATCACTGACCTTCGAGGATAACATGATCATCTGATTATTGATGAGGATCATTAACTGATTCTTGTGGCGATCATTGACATTTGATGCATTTTGATGATAACAGATGATCATCTGATTCTTGATCACTATCATTGACATTTGATTCTTGTAATGACCATTGATGAGACCTAATTAATTGTTGGTGACGATCACTGACATTTGATTTCTTGGTAATGGTCATAAGCAATCAGACGATCTGGTTCTAGAAAAAAGGCTATAGATTTATGCACATTATTGTATGTGTGTAACTCGTGAATACAATATGAATTGTATTTGTATAACATAGTATATTAACAATACGCAAAATAGTGCTATGATCTCTTTTTTGTTTAGGTTTCCTTACGAATGTCATATTGACCTACTTATTTCACTGATCTTATAGATACAAGATTTTATCAAAACTTGTAGTTCTCTCTGAAACTATTCAACAAAGTTCAAACCTGAAACCCGAAACCTCGAAAGCAAGGCATGCAACGTGTGTGGATTAAGGTTTACCTCAAGAATTCGTTAATGATTACATCATACCTTACAGCCAAATTCTGACAAAATCACCATTGACTTTACAAACCTGCAGTAGTATTAGCGTTTGAATAACATATTTGCACTGCTACCTGGTAAAATAAGATTGTGTACTGTATAATATATTTTGCATGAATGAGCCAGTAAATGTCTGCTGAACGTAATCTGAAACTTAAAACAAACTGTTTGCTAAGCACTCTTTAATACAGGTGGAACAATAACGATTAGCGTTTCATTTCGAGTCATTATTTCGTTTTAATACCCGACAGTAATCTAATGAATCATAGGCTATATATGATGGTCACTCTTGTCAGTATTTTGATAGATTAGTTTAGTCTGTTTCATAAATAGATACTGGTCATTTGACTTTATCATATTTGATATTTTTATATTTAGAACTTCTTGTTTGTATTCTATTTAACTGGCTTATTTTATTTGGCTCTGTGTAGCAAGCATATCGCATACTAATACATTTGTTCTAATTATAGGACTTAATTCAAATTGACGAAAGCTTGTATTCGAATTCCAACATATTTTACAAAGTTTGGTGATTTCAAAATTATTTGTTCACGTTAAAAATTAAGTATAAAATTTTTTCCCGCAAAGCTTGAAACTAGCTCAACTGACCAACTCTAAGCAGTTACATTACACAGACAATAACATTTTTCGCTTATGTAACGAAGTGGGCTATATATATAATATCCGCGAGGAATTCCACGTAATATGAATTTCCATACAAATAACCTGACCGATATATTATAATGTTTTCATCGGTCATTTACAGAAGTCTGAATGTAAAATTGGGTCGTTTGTTGAGAATTTGCACAACATGCCTTTGAATTTGGAAAAAATACATCGAATAAACCTATGACAGTATCATTAAGATAAAAATTTCGGAAAAAAATTCCTAGGGGGAAATATTCGTTGCTTTTACACCTTTATTAGAGAGTATTATTTTTTTTGAAAATGAACATGTTTTCTTGTGAGTTCTGCATATGCCTTTTTTTCGAAAATACTAAATTTCGCTCAGTTATTCCGGGGAGTTCTTTTTTTTAAATTTCTGTCGATTATGATGGAATTTGAAGTGAATTCAACTATAATCTGATGTAACCAAATTTCGCATTTATATGGTATAAACTGTTTCAATAATACTTATAATATATTATCCCTCTACTTTCAGAGATGAAACATATATTGATCCTATGTGGATAAAAGCTGGTAGAGAATTAAGGATAATGGCTGATGAATTTGCTAGAACCAGAAGTAGAGAAGAGGTGAGACAGAGGGCACAAGAGGTAACACTATTTCCCAATTCAGTTGTCTAGATTCTGTTATTTTGGTAGGCCATTGGTAATGGATTTCCCAAACCAGGATTTCGTGCATCGTCAGAAATATTTTTATTAAAATGAAATATGACTACAACAAACAACGCTATAAGTTTCTATTTCTGATTTCTTTATTTTCAAATTTCAATCGTCTGATAATACGTATTATATATGGGAAATTTTCATAGTCAATATTTAAATAATACCTTTTGTTGAAAATTTCTCTTCTTCAGTTGAGTCAAGCTTGCCGATGACGTCAATGATTGAAATAGAAGAGCCGTAATTAATATCCGCTTACAGTAAAAAAAAAATTTTAAAAAATCAGGATTATTTTTACTCTATGCTATTCGATACTTCCCAAAAAGTTTTGACTGTAAATAAATTTATTTTAATCAGTTTATTTGATTTTACTAAGGATTCAAGTTATAAAGTATAAATAATATAGCCTAAAAAAAGTCTAAGATGTCATCTTTTTTTAAAAGTTGGCTCAGAAGCACTGATAATCAGGTATAATGCAAGACACGTGGTTGGTGGTTGTGGACGTCGGCTGGCTCCTTTGACTGAATGCACCAATGGGGGTGATGACGTCAAATATAATCAGGGCGTCTTCCACTATAATGTCTTCCAATGAGCTGGGCTATAATCCTAGAGAATTCGGCCAATTGGATCAATTAAACTAAATACAGTCACTTACAAATTATTTTCGTAGGTTGTATGTATCATATGCGTATGCAAATTATTAATAGGCGATATTTCCCTTTGAAAGATGAGATAAGAATTGTATTGTAGTTAATTGATAGCATACCTACGTTATTCTTTAGTATGTATCTTGTTTCGCTTGGTGTGACTATTAGTTTGTTTATTTCCTGTATGACATCAGTTCTAAAATTAGCATAATAAATCATGAAATATTCATGAAACATTCTATACTGTTAGATCATTTATATTTCAGATAAACCTCGATTATTAATTTTTTAAAAATAAACACACTACACTTTACAAAAAATAACATATTACATACGTTTTTAAAATACACTCAAGTTCTCACAATTTTGTCATTTCGTTATGGTGACTGCAATCAAAATATTTGTATGATTTATATTGAAGTCTCGGTTTACCATCAATGATTCGTTAATATATGACTTACGTTTAACTTTACACTGTACAATAACTTATTATGATAGGTCTTTATTTATATTCAAATAGGTTGAGTACAGCTACAGCAATTGCAATCAATGTAATTTTGATTACTTTGATCATCCTTTGGGAGAAAAGTAAAGCGGTCATCCTCATAAAGTAAAGCATATAATTATTTGACACAGTAACATACTGCTTGTTGAATCATTGTCTAATTAGGCCTGTAATATATCCGAGTGAGAATTCGAAATAACCATAAACCTAAATATTAGCTATTAAATTAAACTTGGTTAATATCGAAACAATAAGATTCATAAAACTTGTTATTGTGTTAATTACTTTCAAACCTGTTTTGTAATAATTGGGTAGGATTGTCGTAATGTAGAACGATATTAAGTGGCTCAATAACTGAATTTATTTTTAATAGTTATAAGATTTTTTACCGAGCCCTTGCCCTATATTTGGTCCACCTTTGTTTTTAAGTATCTAAAAATAAAACTAAATGATTGAATGAAGTTTTACGTCCTACTTTTCTGCACCTAACGGGCAACGTCATGCAGTGCGAAGTGACTAAAAAGTATTGTATTGTTCGATACATAATGCAATTATATAATGCTTTTAAAAGTCAAATATGCCAGAATATAAAGTTCTAGATTCTTTACAGTATTGTTTATTATTCCATGCTTATAACAAAATCTATTTTCATTTCAGATTGGTGTAGAAAATATAACATATGAACAATTTAAAGAATTACTATCAGAATTATTTAGTCAGGGACATATCACTAAGGAACGTGTAATGATGTTGTTTTTCTTCTGTTCTGATGTGGCTGTAAGAACAGTGTCCTGTAGTGTAGAAATGTGTAAACGCTTTATGCACTGGTCTCTAACATTTATTACTCAATGTGTATGTAGATGGGTCAGAGAAAATGGCGGTTGGGTAAGTAGTTGTTTATAAAACTCAAATATTTATCCCATTCTTCATTTAGCCTATGTGAGTGTTAAAAATATCTAATTGTGAATAGAGAGGCTGCAGTCAAATACAACCTAATAATACCTAATTTGATATAATTATATAAAATATAAACTTGATTATACATTGTTTTATATTCAATAATATATTTTTTATTACAGGAAGATGTTTTAGTAGTAGATAGAATGCCAACTCTAAGACCCGTTCTGGCTGCTGGTGCTGTCTGTTGCGTAGTATATTTTGCTGTTAAATACTATAAGTCCTAGCTTCTCGGAACGCACCTGTAAAGACAGACAGCGATGATGTTGAGGAACGCTAAACCATACGGGTCTTCTAAAGGATAGGCCTACTCCTTTATGTACATCTGACAGTATTACTGGAATCAGACAACAGACTGATTCTTTTGTGATCTCATTGTTTAAAAATGGCTCAACAATTTGTTTATAGTCTTAATAGAAGTTTCGTTTCAAGAAGACTAAGCGTGTTTTCGATTGTGTTCATTATTTACAGTCAATTTCAGTACATGTATATGTGTTTATGTGTTTGTGTTTATGTATTTCTATGAGGCACCCAGTTCAATGAATTTTAAAGGACAAGAATCGGTGAATTGGAATAGCTGATGACAATGACAGTTGTCTTTGAAAATAAATAATTGACGTTCATTCATTGTATAACGATAATTGAAAATATATGGACCAAAATGATTATAATGGGTATTGATAATGGGCAATAATAGACAACTCTCACGTTCAATGTTATCTATATTTATACATGCAATGGTGAATATTTTGATCTCAATATTTTGTAATAATAAATTATTACATATATAATATACATGTGCTGTATGTATATTTTTTTGTTAACCTATACGGAACCGCATAGGGAGAATCTTTATAAAATAGTTCCATTATTGCAGTCTAAAATCCTATTATAACCTGTCTATTGCCATCAAAAACCACAACAGTCCATATAAAACTCCTATACTACCATCTACAATCACTACATTCTATATAAACATATCTACATTTTATAAACTAATCTACCAGCATCTACAATAACATGTCTACTACATCTATGATCACTACAGTTTATATTAAACTCCACTACTACCATCTACATTCAATACAGTCTATATTAAACTCCACTACTACCATCTACATTCACTACAGTCTATATTAAACCCTACTACTACCATTTACAATCACTACAGTCTATATTAAACCCTACTACTACCATTTACAATCACTACAGTCCATATAAAACTCCTCTACTACCATCTACAATCACTACATTCTATATAAACATATCTGCTACCATCTACATTTTATAAACTAATCTACCAGCATCTACAATAACATGTCTACTACCATCTATGATCACTACAGTTTATATTTAACTCTAATACTACCATCTACATTCACTACAGTCTATATTAATCCCTACTACTACCATCTACAATCACTAAAGTCTATATTAAACTCTACTACTACCATCTACAATCAATACAGTTTATATTAAACTCCACTGCTACCATCTACAATCACTACAGTCTATATCAAACTCCACTAATACCATCTACATTCAATACAGTCTATATTAAACTCCACTACTACCATCTACAATCACTACAGTTTATATTAAACTCTACTACTACCATCTACAGTCACTACAGTCTATATTAAACTCCACTACTACCATCTAGATTCACTACAGTTTATATTAAGCTCCACTACTACCATCTACAATCACTACAGTCTATATTAAACTCCACTACTACCATCTACAATCACTACGAGTTTATATCAAACTCCACTACTACCATCTACATTCACTACAGTTTATATTAAACTCCACTACTACCATCTACAATCACTACAATCTATATCAAACTCCACTAGCTACTTCCATCTACAATTACTACAGTCTATATTAAACTCTACTACTACCATCTACATACACTACAGTTTATATTAAACTCTAATACTACCATCTACAGTCACTACAGTCTATATTAAACAACACTACTACCATCTACAATCACTACAATCTATATTAAACTCCACTAGCTACTACCATCTACAATCACTAAAGTTTATATTATTCTCCACTACTACCATCTACATTCAATACAGTCTATATTAAACTCCTCTACTACCATCTACAATCACTACAGTCTATATTAAACTCCACTACTACCATCTACATTCACTACAGTTTATATCAAACTCCACTACTACCATCTACAATCAATACAGTTTATATTAAACTCCACTACTACCATCTACATTCACTACAGTTTATATTAAACTCCACTACTACCATCTACAATCACTACAGTCTATATTAAACTCCACTACTACCATCTAAAGTCATTAGAATCTATATCAACGAATCTGCTACAATCTATAATCAACACATTATATATAAATATTTCTATTATCATATACAATCATATACGATCATAGATAGAGCTGTAACGTCACTGGATCACAGGTTAAAAAATCGCATGTTGTCTGATTGCTCTACAACTTGACGTAAAATAGGAGTTGCGCCCCTTAGACCAAAAGGTGTATTCTTGTCACTGATTTAGGCCACGACTGAAGTTTTGCCCTTTTCATTAATTTGATTCAGAAAAGTCCACAAAATTATTAATAGATAATGAAAAACTAAAATATTATTAAAAAAGTAGGAAATGTTTATCTATGCAGAATCGTGTACTTTAAAACATTTTTGTTGGAGAGTATAATATATATCAACATGGCGTCGAAAGAAACGGAGGTGGATGTTTAATATGCAGTATGTAACTGTGATTGGCATAAATTTACACAAATAGGACTCTTAGAATGAATAGGCACCAAGTACTGACTGGTGCCTGTAATTTAGGGGATCAGTGCTATGCTGTTGGAAGCGTTGAGGGCATCCATTTCACTGTAAGTTGATTATCTTGTTGACATTTTGTTCTGTTTAATCAAATCGAGTTGACGTTTGACTATTGACATCGTCTGTAATGTTGGCATTTTTGTGTTGTCATATTTTGATAATTATAGAGTGTGCTTTGTTGGCCTACTATAAACCTTCTGCAATAAGGGTTAATTTTTGAAAATATACTTTCATTTTTATGTGTCTAATTCAGCATGATGTTAGCTTATATTTAGGCCTACAGGGCTACAGTACATGGTTCCCAGGGACAGGGAGCCTAAAATGTAATACCTGTGGCTGTAGTTTGTCTGCACCACGACTGCACAGCCCCAGACTTAGTAAGTTTTTACTACTGGTTGAACATGCATTTAGAGTGATATAAGTCTATTGATTTTTTAAAACTAGATTAAAATGCTCTCATATTTCATTAAAAATTACCGATTAGAATTACGGTACTGGTACTTTATTAATTGGGGTAATCTAAAAACTAACTACTCCTTCTGGTACTAGTAGCAGTAGGCCTATAAGTGTAACCTAATCTGTAATTAAAGTTATACATCGCTCAATTGGGTTGATTGCAGTGAGAAGAATAAAGGAAATATTGTTGTTTCATAATTACTTCAAGCCAAAAAGAATTTATTTTGAAGCATCTAGATATTCAGGAATACCTCTTATAGCTTCTTTAAGATAATTTTTTTGAAACTGACTGCCAAAAGAAAGTTAGAACAATAAGTATGTTAAAGCGAATAAAAGGATAGCATCTAGTTTTTTTGTAAATGTAGGCTTACATGTTTGTTTTGTATGCCTGGTATCATAACATAAAGTGTTGATACCAAACCATATAATCGTATTGTGGCTATCGTAATACAGAGCATCAATTCACCAGTTGTTAAAGGGATTGTAAAATTCTATCTTGTTATCGGTGTTCTTAATTTTTTATGTGTATCAGGGATATCGATAGCACAAATTTGCACCATTTCAATTTTTAATCAGATGTCTGTTGTTGCTGCAATTCCATAAAACTAAGTCTTAAATGACGTCACTAATCATAAAATATTCTTTATCACATAAGGTCCTTTGAGATTAGTGATGTCATCGCACACTGATCATCATGCATCATGTGCCTAACCCACACCCCCATTGGTCATAGTACCTTGAGACTGTGGTTAGTGTTGGAACAGTTAATCAGTTAACAGAATTTCAGGTAGGATTTCACAGGTAACTGGGTCTGATTTGAGCAGTTAACCGTCAATTTTATTTGAAGTTGAAAGAAGGTATTTTTGAAAAAAAATATGACACTTCATATGTCTTTAAAGCAGTTCTTTTCTCTAATTAAATGTCTAAACTAATGTTGTTTAATAAGTGAAGTTTATCGGGATGGTGTATCAATAATCAAAACACGTGTTGATATTTGTGTTTAAGATTATCGAGCCTACAATTCGCATACTCAATGACCTAGATAAGATTCCTCTTTACGTTTTAAAATGCCACTTATTCATAGCTAAATCTTTCTGCGCTGCACTTTTTCATGATCACCAATAATTTTATTAAAGACACATCAGTACTGGCATTGTAGCCTAATGAAAATGATAGTTTGGTGTAATGAATTATACGAGTACCTCTAATTATGATCCAAGCTATTTGATCTAAAAGCAATGACCTTGATTTTGAAGCAATGCAATCTCAAAGTAAAGAAAATCAAAGCAGTGTGTCATTAACTGTTTTGATTGACATAAACAGTTCAAAATTTATTAAGATTTTCAGTAAAGAATTGAAGCCAAGAGACAATCAAACCTTACTTTGGGATATTTACTTGGAACAGGTAGCAAAACGATTTTATGTTTTGTTTACATGACCCTATTTCCGTTCTACCGATCTGATTGGTCAGATTTAAATAGCACCAATCTCATTTCCACAAAACGAAGTGGGCTTAGTTAGTAATAACTTAGGGGTTAATAACACCATGTCAAAATCTGTAAGCTTTTTCATGACACAATGAAACACAATCATAATTGATATTTTTACACTATTTACAAATCCACAGTTTGGTGATATTTATAAGTACTAACATTCCAATCAATCTTGAACCCTGTCCATCGGTCTGTGCACATTTCTTGTGAGCACTATAAAGACTACAGTTTTTATCTGATATTACTGAAATTTAGTGTGATGATTTAAAATCATGTCGAGGTCATGTTCAGAATAGAATTTTTCTAAAGTTTGATCTTGATCGCAATAGAGACTACAGTTTTCTTCTGACTTTCATGAAATTTGGTGTGATGATTTATATTCATGAGATCTTGGTTAAGTTTTGAATTTTATGATTTTTTGATGACCACTTTTTGAGTTATTGCCATTGCCTTTGCAGTAAAAATATTTGTCGAAATTTATTCGTGAGCACAATAGAGATTACAGTTTCGATCTGATTGTAATGAAATTTTGTAAGATCAATCATAATGATAGGATCTTGGTCAAGTTCAAATTTGAGGATTCTTTGATGATTGGTTTTTGAGTTATTGCCCTTGACATGTCAAATTAAAAATCCCTCAACATATATACAATAGAAAAAGTGAAAGTTAATCCAGGCAAAATAATTCTTCATTGTACAACACATGAGATTGCCTGATAGCATGATGGTACTAGTTTGAAAAGTCCAATATTGTTTAATATGTTAGTCCCCAGATGCCAGCTTTATTTATTAGCATGATCTCAAATTAATTAAGCTAGTATGCCCTTTAAACAGTCCATTACTTGACCTTCTGTGTTATATTATAGTGACATTATTCAGCTTGAATTTCTCAATCTATAATCAATAAAAGTTGAAGCATTTCTTCTGCCAGCTAGCACACTAACTGTTGATAGTAATATAGTGGCTTCGTTCTATATTTCTTCTATAATTCTATTTTATTACTTCCCATTGACTTCTATCAATACATCGATCATAATTCCTATTCATTTCAATACTCAATTAGATTTTCTGTCATCTCCATTCACTATTTTCAATAAAACAGATAAAAATATTAAGCCAACAAAAGAATAATGTTTGTATTGTTTTCACTGCTTTCAAATGATAGCTCAGAAGAATATCAATGTATTATAATGTTAACTATTCATTAATGCCTACATTGAGAATAACAGAATTCCCCAAATTTGGTCATTAGGGTTTTAAGTACCTCTTGGACTCCAAAAAAGGGTTACCGGTACCAAACTCATTCGAATCTTTACAGTGAACATGAAACTGTGGATTCTATCAACTACACCAAATATCACAGTTATAAAGGTTTGAATTTAATATGAAAAACTTGGAAGATAAAATGTTAATTTTTATCCCATTACCCCATATGATTGACAATACATAGCACTAGTCCAGACATCAACCAGAATCTAGGAAATTGGAAAAAATTCAGGACAGTAGTCTTATTCCTTATCATCAATACATTTTACAAATTGTTGGTTTTTAAGACAATATGTATTCTATGTAAGCAATGACAAGGACAGGTTCACCATTCATTTTACCAATTGTATACACTATTACTAATTATAGCTTAGCTAAAAATTTCTTATTCTCAGAAACGGGAAATGTTTAGCTTAGCCTCAATCAGTAATATTTGTCCATAATTATCCTTGTGTGAAAGTTCAACCCCTGAAAATGGCAAAGCTGTCCCTTTAAAGCTTACTCTGAGCTTACAATAGGACAATTCAGTTTTGTATCAGTGACATTTGTTTTGACTAACATATATGGCAACTATGGTGTGTATTTATATTCAGTTTTAAAAAAAAAAATTAAAATGAGGACAAAAAAATGAAAGAGTGCGTTTTATGTAAAATAGCGTTTCCTTCTTCATTTCTGGAGATTCTGTTTAAAAGGATGTCGTTTATATGGGAAAATGTTATATATAGAGAAAAAGAGAAAGTTTAAGTCACAACTAAGAGAGTTATTGTCAGAATAACCACCCACTCAATATTTGAATCAGTAGAGCATCTCAATATATACCATCTCAATCATTCTATTTTCATCTGATCATAATCAATAAGTAAAGCACATATAATTGGCAAGTCAAGAACACAGATAGCAACCCTAAGATACTTTTAGACTTGAACAGTATTTCTGTCAGCATTGATCAAATACATATTTTTTTAAAAAGCACTTGATTCCACATCAGATGTGATTCTTGATCCCCAAAGGTTGTATGGTGGTCGTCTACATCTATCCCTTGATACAGCAACTGGTCTTTGTTATTTTTCTATACGCCCACATCTCTCTATGTGGACGTATATTGTCGGCACCCCTGTCCGTCCGTCTGTAGATTTTTTGATGGAATCAAATGAAATTCGGTATGTGTATACATATTCATAAAACGAAGATCAAGTTTGAATTTGAGTTATTTTCGACCGTTAGAGGCAGAGTTATTGCCCTTGCCCCAAAATCTTGAATATGCTATCTTAGTTTTGAACCGATTTTGATGAAACTTAAAATGGATGTTTCGTTTTTATCATCCGCATGCCGTGGTGGGCTTATATGGATGTGGTCTACTATCTTTTACATCATTTTAAAGGTGTTTCTTGTCATGATTATGCAGGCTGCTTCAAGAATAAATGTCAAGTCTATGCAAATAAGTCAAAGATATAGAAATTTCTCCAGAAAAAGATCAGAAAATGATTTTCCCATGTCATGTTATCATTGTTTTCTACTCCACTAAATTTGGTACTCAGTAATGTTATCTGAAATTGAGAGATTTTGTCTTTACCATTGACATAATTTGAACAAATTGATAATATTTTGGAATGAATATAGTGCTCTGTCAGAATAAGATCATTAGATTGAGGAAAATGTAGGAGTGATCATTCTTAGAAATTCATTCTAAAAGATTTTAATGTAACCTTACTACCTCTACTGTACTGGTAGGTCTAACATATATAGTATAACTGATCATACTGTTTAAAATAAAGAAGCTGACTGTATAGGAACTTGTGAGAAAATATAACTACAGTGGTATTGATTTCAGCTACTATCATATATAATATCTTCTTATTTAAGATTGACAATGAATATATTATATTGGTGACAACATCTATTATCAGAATTGGAGTAGGTCTTCTTAAAGGGACAGATTCGCCATCTGTTTGACCAATCATATCTTAGTCTCAGAAATAGATTTTTTTTAGCAAGGCAAAGCTCACTGTAAAAATTTGAACCTTCAAATCCATACATGTGTCCATAATTTTTTCAGTGTTTTAAAGTTGAAAATAACACTCATCTTTTCTTGAAAAGATTTTAGAAAAAACATATACAGAAATAGAGATTGAAATTCCTAGTTTGAGATATATTTGAAGGAATTATGCAATTTCCGTACTTTTCTAGTATTTCTAAAGACTATATATGTAAGACCCAAATCAACCCCCGAAAATGTTGAATCTGTCCCTTCAAAATGATACTATATCAGTGCTTAAGAGCTGGCATCTGGCAAAATATCTTAAATGATATGTGTGAATTCAGAATGGAAGAATTTAAATTTGCAGAATATTTGTCACTAACTGGTGATAATTCAGCTCAATATCAACTGGCCTATGTTAGCTTACCACTGTAGTGGAGCTTTGTTAGACCACAAAATATTGTTCCTTGTATGAAGATTTTATTTAAATATTAGCCTAAGATATCAGGCATAAGTAATTAAGTATGATGTTAAGGTATGAGTTGAATTGCATAAATAACTCAATTTCTGTTTTAAAATCACTGATGCATATAGTTATGCGAGATATAAGTATTAGTAAACTGATATCTCTCCTCGACAATAACTTAACCACCAATGGTTTATTGGTAGAGGTTCCAGAACCACCAATGGTGTATCAGGAGAGGTTCCAGTATTGAATTGTTGATGTTAAAAGTTATCTCAGATCTTTGCTGGACCTGGTCAACTTTGTGAATAGAGACAAGTATATGAATAAATTTGTGTTAAACATTGTCAAGGTTGTAATATATATTTTCAGGCTTATGCAGCAGGATGTAATATAGTAATATTGGCTAGTAATTTTGAGAGAGTTCAAATTATACCAGGAGTAACTCATGGTAATATAAAAGTTAGCTGTATTGACTGCTCATCAGATACTGGAAAGGTGGGTATTCTAATAGCATCAATTTGCACCATTCCAATTTTCAATCAGACGTCTGTGGTTCCTGCAATTCAACTAAAATTAAATGGTTGATGTCGTCACTAATCACAAAGAAACTTAAATGTGATAAAGCATATTTTGTGATAAGTGACAAACACTTAATTTTTGCTGAATTGCAGGATCCAATTGGAATTGTATGAATTGATGCTATCAGTGTACATACATAATCATAGAAGCATCTGTCTTTCTTATGATTTTAGTTAGGGGCTGGGTGTCGATTACCAAGTTGGGGTTCATTATCAACGGCAGCCAAATGACAGACAGACAGATCCCAGGATAAGCATTTTTTGCATGTAAACCAAGTAAAGAATTTTCAAATGGTCATGCCTATCATTATAACTTAGTCATTTTGAAGTTAAATTTTCAAATTTCTTGTGTTCAAAAAAGTTTGTCTGTAACAGATGTTTACTAGATATCATTTCAAATTATCATGAAAATTTAATAAAGATAAACTGTATACAGTACAATAATTCAATAACCATTTATTTTACCGAAACCTTACTAATAAACTATATACAGTATAATTCAAGATTAAATGATATAATGATCAGATGATTCATGTTAATAGCTGTTTCCCTGTAGGAAAGAAAACAACACTCAAAGATCTTTTCATTTCACACTTTCATAGTGTTTTCAGTTTTTTTTTTTTTAATAAATGTAATGTATTATCCAAATGGTTTTCAGGATTCAGATTTTTACACCATCAATTTTATTTCAATTCTACAGAGCTTGGTTTTGATTATCCCACATAGAAAAGTCTTGGTTGACTAAAATTGACATAGATGGTGTCATTTAAGCATATGTTTAGGGGACTTGTATAATATTATTAAAATTTTCTGATTATTGATCATCTTTTGATATTGATTATCTTTTATGCAGAAAATGTAAGGGATCAAAAATAACCCACCTAATGAACAATATATTTACAAAATAAAGTTCCAGTGTAATTTTTGATTGAATTATTTATTATAGATAGCTGCTAGTTATGGCAGAAAAGTACATATATTTGAACCTACTCCTCTTATTCATGAAACCAGTCATGTAAGTATTTCTACTTCAACTATAGCTGGGAGTTACTGACAACTTCCTATAACACATTTTTTACTAAAATATTTATTGTATTTTAGCTTTTTATCTGAAAACAAGACATCTTTACAATGAAAAAATATTATGAACTGTGCTAAATACCTTGACTGCAATAGCCAAATATTTGTAAATGCAGTGATTTCATTGGATTGTTTGCTACTGCATACAGCTAATCACACCCCTCTGTAAACAATAAGCCAGAATATTTAAAGAGCTCTGATTGGATGTATTTTCTATTACAATAAAATAAAATCAAATCAAATCGCTGCTTTCCGTGATACAAGAAAGGTGGCTATTGCAGTCAAGGTATTAGCAATAGCATAACATTGTGAAGAAAATAACAATGGGGGACTTATAAAGAACATAAATTTTTGACCTAACTTTGGTTAAAATCATGGACTTATGTATTAATAATCAATGAATACTGCCCACTTTCAATGGACTTGGCAATAATATATTGTATTATAATGTAAATTTAGAATCATCATCTTGGCTTTAACCAACATTTTATTCCACAGTGTAGTGACTTTTTGCGTTTTACCATTTGCTTAATTGGAATTATTGATGTTTGACTTCCTTCATGAATTGAATGGAGTCAAAGGTCGTGTCTGGAAATAGAAGAATATTTTGAATGTCTATATTTTCCTGAACGTTTCAGTATTTTTATTGCTTGCTACAATCTGTGTTGAAATCAGGTTATACCAATAATAGCACAAGTTAAATAGTATAAACTGATTTACAATTTTTATCATTAACACTTCCAACTAAGTGCTTAAACAAATTTTCAATCTTTACCACCAAAATAAAAACTAGTTTTATATCATGTCAACAATATCAACTTGGATATAATGGTAAGTAGTCTAAACCTTGCCATTTAACTTGTGCTATTAATGGTATAAACTGATTTACATTAGGCGTAACACTATTTTTGAGTTTTAATGGTTAACAGGTAATAAGTCCTATAAGATATTTAAGTAAAAGCTGTAGAGAAATGATTGATATAAGAGAAAGAGGAGAAATAGTTTTAAAGATAGTCTTGATTATATTTTTATTGATTTCCATGTCATTCTACACCTTTTAATTATTCAAATAATCCCCTGTTTTTACTGAAGAAAATCAAAGTATATAAATTTATAACAAATCAATATTATAAGTTGCTCAATGAATTATTTATTCAACTTAGAAAAATAGAATAGTTTGAACTATCTGTGATTTAAGTGTTTATTTTTGTTTTAATGATTTGTTAATTGATTATCATAGAAATGAGTATGAAATCAATTAGGAGATCGTTAAACCATTAAATTAGCAAATCTTGACATTGCTTAACCTTTAGCAAGCTTAGTAATAAAAAGTAAGAATAATTTGATAATGATTTAAATATTTAGATTAATGAGTAGATTTTCAAGTTAGATTCAACATTATTTGGTTGATCCACCATTCATGTTCATGATTTTGATGAAAATGGTTCCGGTATGTTGGTCATCAATTGCTGTAAAGCTTATGCTTGCATATTTATTGGTTTCAATCATAGCATGGGTCAAGATAGTTTACTCTTATTTCCAAGCCCATCTTGCCTTGTCTTTGAGCTCAGTTCAAATAGGGCATGATTAGGACTACGTATCTATTACCAAATTGAGATTGATTATCGATGTCAGACTAATGATCAATAATCAATTAAAATATTTTTATCGAGAAATCTTCTAATTAACTAAAATCATTTCCATTTCCATGTCATTTTTTTGTATCATTTTGTTATGATATAAAAAAATCATTTCTGAGATCTGTTATGTTAAGTGATGTGCTGAAGGAAAATTTTGTAGAATAGTGACCTTACAAGAAGGTACACTGGAAAAAATCTGACTTCGATTATGAAATTTGATAATCGATAATTGAAATGATAGATTCCTTGCTACGATAATCCATTATTTTAGTCAGCCATAGATATGATTGAGGTGCATGTAAAAATTCAAATAAATTGGGTTCACTGCAAATTTGTCTTATTGTGCACATGTTGCCAGTCTTTATTTACCTTAAAGAAGATAAGTGTGACAAAAAACTTTGTATTATTTGTTGTTTATAATAAAGCGTTAAGAAAGGTAAAAGATGGTTCTTCATTCATTGTTTCGAATTCATTGAGAGTATTCTTTTTGATAGTGATTTTGTAACACTGAATCTTGATAATAAAATTATTTATAAAATAGCGTTATGAATTATAACAAATAGGCCTTAGCTGTAGATAAATTGTGTAGATTACGAGAATAAAAATAATATTGTGTTAGAATGGTGTTAATGATTTGTAAAGAGCATGAATTTATTCCCTGGAGAACTATATATTATTATATATATTACATGTTCAGACTATCAATCAGTGAATCTATAGAATATTCTCTTTTATTATAGTCATAAGAAATATTCTCTTGTATAATGATTAACAAATCTGGGACGAGAAAAAAATAATGTAGACAAAATACAAAGGCATTTGTTTATTTTCATGTTAGGGGAAGTACTTGGGGAAATGAATGCATCTACTCTGGATTCTGCTTGCTTTACAAATGAAACCCCTGAATTTAAAAGTAAAACGTATTGTCGAATAAAAGCCATATTAAGTTGCTACTTGTCATTTCTACAACGAAATTTGAACTTTTAAAGGTTAAAAAGTGATCTGCAATTTTTGCCAATAATATTGATTCATTAGTTTTTTGTTTATCAACATTTTTCCACCAAGGTTCTTCTGCAATAATTAAATAAATTTTCGATAACAATCTGAGTAAAATTCAGATCTTCATGTTTCCTTAATTTATGTATTTTTCTGCAGGTTACTACTTTTCTATCCATAATCTCACTAAAAATTCTTCTTTGATTCAAGTCTAATGATTTTGTGAAGTTGAGAATCAGAGAAAGAGTAACTGATTGGTTGAATATTTCAATCACCTAGAGCATGTGTTGCACAAAAATTTCTTCATATCTTGGATCGAAAAAAAAGAGGTCTATGGTCTATAGCCAGGCGCAAATGACATATATTTTGTCCAAAGCAAACAAAAAACATTATCATATGTTCAAGTTTTCATTAGCTGCAAACAATGGACATTGTTAAAAATAAACCTTGCATAAACCATCTTTTCACATGACCACAAGGTTCAAATGGAATTTTGTTCAATGCACTCGACAGACTCAAACATTTGTTTCAGAATTCAAACAAATTTTTTCATGAAAACAATTTTTATTGCTTACACACACGACAGATTTTTGTCAGGAAACAAAAGTCTGTCATGTACATTAGGCTTATCACATATAGACCTATAATCAGATTGATTGTATCTTTTACCATAATTAACTACCAACTTATATCTTATCATAATATACCATCATAATTAGTAATTAATATATTACAGAAATTGGATTATAAGTGGTACCTTACAGCCACCATAGAAGTTGATTGTTTTGTTAATGCTTTAACATGGAATATGGAAGGTTTGTTTATTGCTATTTATATAATTTGTTTCATCTGAAACACATACAATAGAAACATAATGCCCAATCTAATTCAATTTAAAACCAGTGAACCTTTTCAAAATGAAGACCCTTAGAAGCACTTAAACTTGATACCCATTTCATTATCCAGCATTGAAACTGCTATTCCTTATGCAGTGTCCGAACAAAACTAAGAAGTTTGTTTTTGATTGTAGGTTCCAAATTATTGACTGGGGGTGATAGTATATGTATTTGGCAATTTGAAATGAATGAAAGAAATGAAGATGAAGGGAGTAATAAGAAAGTACAGTTTAGTTTAGGAACAGATGATGAAGATCCACTGATTAATCAACTATCTCATGCTTTACATGGTGATAATAAAGATACTCTAACACATGGCCCTGGTTCCTGGCAGTGTGTCTGGAGATGCAAGTAAGTACCAGCATTTCTCACAAAATTTAATTCCAGCAGTTCCTTCTTGTTTACCTTCCTTGTTTAATAAAAAGTTAGTAAGTGATTAAGCCTAAGCACCACGAAAGCATTATACAAATTGTTTTGTCTTCATTCTCTTGTAATTTCATTTCAGACCTGCTACTACTGTCTACCATTTAAAATTCTCACCTGATGGATTTCTGTTTGCTTCAGCAGGAAAGGTATCTCATTTTTCTTTTTAAAAAATATAAAATTTATAAGCTTACATATAAAATAAATTTGGATAAGAGTTTCATGTATAGTATTCAAAGTATTTGATAGTGTTTTGATTTGAAATAATGATGTTTCAGGCTGATCGGTTGGTTAAGATATGGTACGAAGATAGAAAAGGTATGCATATTTTTGTTTGACTGTTTTTGATTAGATATACAGGTTATTTATTGGAAGACCAATATCATTAGCTACAGATCTAAGGAAGGAAGAGCATGCCCAAATAATTTTGGAAGTTGACTTTAAATCTCAAAAATTTCTCAGATAGTTTGATGACTTGAGGTTATTGACTGACTTCCATAAAGAAATCTGTATATAAATTTAACAGTACAGTTAGAAATTTTATAAAATGTGACCTCAAATTTTGTAGGTAATTCTACATAGTGGTGGTTATACAACAAAAATTACTTTTTAATGAAATCATGTGGTGTTATGTTATTTAATATCAGTTAACCTATAGTCTTCTACATGTTTACAACAAATAAACACAAAATAAATAAAAACAACCAGTAATCTTCTTAACATACAAAAACTTTGTCAACAATGAATGTTACTGTACCACTATTTTAACATGCTATTATAACACTCATTATGAGTCCAACACAATCTATTTTTTTATTTCTATATGAAAAAATATTTTACCAAGTTTTATTATTGCTGATTTTCTTTTTGATTTTTTTATACTTATAAATTGCTATTAATAATATCTACCAGTATAAATTGATTTTTAAGAATATTGTGATATAAAAAATACTTTAATTAGTTCTGCATTTTGTTTGTTATAAAAATCACATTGATTTCTTTTATTTTAGAATGACTTCAGGATATTTCAGTAACAATGAAATTCTGAAAATGAATTCTGTATATTTCAATAACAATTAAATTCTAAAAATGAAATCTGTATATTTCAATAACAATTCATTTCTGAAAATGAAATCTGTATATTTCAGTAACAATGAAAATTTGAAAACGAATTCTGTATATTACAATGACAATGAAAATCTGAAAATGAATTCTGTATATTTCAGTAACAATTAAATTCTAAAAATGAAATCTGTATGTTTCAATAACAATTAAATTCTAAAAATGAATTCTGTATATTTAGTAACAATTAAATTCTAAAAATGAAATCTGTATATTTAGTAACAATTAAATTCTAAAATGAATTCTGTATATTTCAGTAACAATTCTGTATATTTCAATAACAATTCTGTATATTTCAAAAACAATTAAATCTAAAAATGAAATCTGTATATTTCAATAACAATTGAATTTTAAAAATGAATTCTGTATAATTCAATAACAATGAAATTCTAAAAATGAAATCTATATATTTCAATAACAATTAAATTCTAAAAATGAAATCTGTATATTTCAATAACAATGAAATTCTAAAAATGAAATCTGTATATTTCAATAACAATTAAATTCTAAAAATGAATTCTGTATATTTCAGTAACAATGAAATTCTAAAAATGAAATCTGTATATTTCAGTAACAATGAAAATCTGAAAATGAATTATATATATTTCAGTAACACCACAGTTAATAAGAACTGATAGTATTAGTCCCAAGAAAGATGAAATGCATTATTCCTTTGTTTATATTGCACATCCTAGATCTGTTACAGGATTCTCTTGGAGAAGAACTAGTAAATATATGCCACGGTAAGAATACAAAATATTTCACATTTATCTTTTACTTAATAAGTTTGAAATGAGCTTTCATTTGAAAATTAAATGAATACCGGTAAATGATAAGAGATTCATGTCTGTGATTCTATAATATGGGTGTGAAATTCTAGAGAGATCCTATTTTAGTCCCTGATATTGAACTATGTCTAACCATTGCTATAATTTTAAGATATTAACAAGATTAAGATGTTGTTTTCAGATATTCTGATATACCGTAAGTAACTAACACCTCGTGTTTGAGCCTGTTATATATTTATAATCAAATAAATTGTATTCCTCTCAAATACCTTTATCCTCTGTCAAAAACAAGCTTAAAATCCAAAACATGACTACACCCTTCACTCCTGTGTTTGTGTCAAGTTTGTTCTGTGATTGTCCAGAAAATGGTGATTTAAGGGAAATTGAATTGGGCTTGTTTGAGATCTTTATAAGAGTTTTATTTGATCATAGATGTGAATTGCAGGAAGGACATGTAATGAATTTGTTGAAGCTGATAAAAAGTACATTATTATCAAGCAGAATTAAATAAATGTGTATATTCAGCTTTATCACATAAAGCATCTTGCACTACACCTTCAATGATATCATATATAACCATATTGGCCTTGCCCATAGTCACATTATCAATAATTATTTGATCTTGATATACCATATTATATGTAGACTATTGTCAGCTTGAGATACATCCACAGTGTCAGCAGAACTGAATGAGCAAGTGAAGGTATTCTAAATCTTAGAACATAACATAAAATTAGAGATTAGGGTGATTGAAGAGTAACAAGTTACTATTCAATATAAGGCACTGGCACAGGGTTTAGAGGTAGAATACACTTAAACTATACCACATAATAGTTGATTCTCTTTCTTTTACTTCTATCACAACATGTTCCATAACTGAGATTTTTTCTTAAAAGGTATTAGATGATGCCTAAATCTTACTATTTATGTAAATTACTATGAAATATTTGATGCTATATTTCAGAGGTTCAGTAGCTAATATGTTAGTCACATCATGTTTAGATAATGTTTGTCGTATTTGGTGTGAAACTATATTACCTGATGATGGTTTAGTTGATTTAGAACAGTTTGATCCCAGTTCAACACTAGATGCTAAATATAATACCAGTAGACATAAAAAACGCTTTATGCAGAGATTAAAAACTATCAGGTAAGTCATGTCTCCTACTTTTAGTCAGTGTTCTTTTAGCCATACCAGTTAGTGCCCCATTAACACATATGGACATTACAGTATCGCTTTACTAAATATAAAAGTCCAACTTTATTCAGGTTAAACACCTATCACCTGAGGGAGCTAACTCTTGAAACAGACATGATATCATTAGACCACATTATCACAATAAAAATAGACCATGATATAACAATATGACAAAAAATCATACTGAAATTATTTATTTGTCTTAATCAAGGGAAGTGATAATAATATACATTGCCATGTTTAAATTCTATAAAAAATGATTCTTAAACAATAATAATTGGTAATATCTTCCACAAGCTTGATGGAGTCTAATCTAACTTTTTAATCTTTCCTTTTCTGTTTGAATATTAGCAGTAGACCATTAATGCTCGGTCTTGTATCTTATTGCCTGTGTACTTGTAGACATGCGATACACAAGAGAAGAAAACAACCAAAATATGGTCCTGAAACTGTAATGAGTGTGGGTAATTTATCTAGTATGGGTAGTGTACATGACTTCCACAAGTTTGCTATTCATCATAATGGTGTCTCACCTGTATTACATTTCCATTTAGCTGGTAGTATTAACCCAGAAACAGGTTAGTTTAACTCTATTCCTTTTTCAGACCAAGTGAGATCAATCAACTTAAACCTCTCTATGTATTCATATTTACAAAAAATACAACTTAGAAGTGTGTTGATTAGAGGTTTGAAAATTATATGACAACATGAATACTAATTATATTGCCTTGGTTCTTGATATGGGAAATATCTACTACAGTGAAATATGGTAGAAATATTAATTACCATTCTTTTTAAATAGTGCAGATACCTCACATGAAGAGGTTTCTCAGTAGGAAATATTTGTATATTTGTATCAATAACATAAAGACTAAAGTTTGACTTGAGTATTCTAAATATACTAGTTTTTGAAATGAAGGCCCTACTGAATAGAGGTTTGACATAAGACATTTTTTTATCATTGTTTCAGATATTCCACTACAACCAGTAACTGGTAATAAAGGTGATGTAGAGCATAATTTTAAAATTAATTGGTTGAATAATAAAGAATTACAGTTTACAATAGAAGCTGAGAAAATATTACAAGATTTATATAAACAATTATCTTATGAAGATCATAATACCACCAACCAGAATGATGAAGAAGATCATGATTCTAGTCATGATAATTCTGATAGTGATCATGATGATCAAAGTAAGTGCAGATCATTCATGATTTATATGTGTACATACATCTGACTTGAATCACATAGTAATAGAATTACATATGACTGTTGATAATTTGAAAATTTTGTGCTACTTTGTAAATGTAAATCATTGAGGACAGAAAACAACGGTTTCTGTTTTTCCAGCACCAGTTCTACGTAAATCATTCTTAGGTAATTATACTTATCTGATTAACTATTGATGTACAATTGATTTTTTTTTTTTGATTTGATATATTCAGGTCAGAAAAAGAAGAAAGCTGGTTTTTTTAAAAGAAGGGGTAAATATAAAAATAAAGGATTAGGAAGTCATACAGACAGCGCTAGTAGTTTATCATCAGACCATGGATCTGAAGGCAGTAATCCGGAATTCTCGGTAAGTTTTCAATCATAGAAGTAATTAAATTTCTATTACCTAGTTTGAACTGAAACTATAACCTACCGTAATGTGAATCATATCTTTTACATTGAAATTTTGAAATAGTGATTCATTCAATGTACATCATATGTGTTACTTTTTATGAATCCTGATCCTATTATTGTAGGTTGTAAAAAAAGTAGTCCACTAATTGATGTCCCTATCTAATTGATAAATAGCCCTATTGTCTGTTTTTGTAGACGTCAATGATGGATAATATAGATAGAAAGATAGAAGTATTGTTAAGAGATTGGCATCAGAATCCTGATATGTTATTTAGTATACATCCTGTAGATGGTAGTTTTCTAGTCTGGTAGGTGTCATTCTTACCTTGCTAATTATCATGCCATTATCTGACAATAATAAAGACATGAAAAATCTTTGAAGCTCAGTATGTAGCCATATAAATATTTGCTTTACTAACTGATACAGCTCAATTTCTACTACTCCTTAACTCCTTTGGCAATAAGAATTCAACATGTGGTTTCTCTACTATCAACAAAAGTTGCGCCATAACACCTAGATTGTTGTGGTATCCAAGCAACATACATAACACAGGAGATTTTTTAACCAGGAGATTTTGTTTCTCAAAAGAGTGATTAAGATAGCTGAAATTTAATTGATGAAAATGGAAATAAAAAATCATAGAAGAGGTACAAGGAAAAATGAGGAAGATTCGTTCAAGAATTAGATTTTCAGCATTATTTTTCATTTCTATATCATAGGTTGGTAGATTGGTTAGATGAATATACACCAGTATGTTTTAGACAAGCACAAGTCAGTTTTTCATCAAGATTACCTCATGCCTTCCCTATAGCAGATGCTAGATCCATGTCGAGTAACTTGTTAATGTATTGTAACTATAGTAAAATGGATATAAAATCTGCCATGAAACTTAGTGAGAGTAAAACATGGGTTGATTTTGATGAAGGACAACAAAAAACATTTAATCCACCGGCACCAGCCACGGGCAAGACTCTCCAGGACAGAATAATAATATGTTAATACCAAATGTTTTAAT